AAATTGGATTGCAATATTTAGGATAGAGATGAGATTGGATGAGATTGGGTCAGATTACGTTAAAGTAGAAGAGAGATGGGATCAGATTAGATGAGGTATAATTATATAACCTTAGAGAATGAGTTTCAGTTACATTAAAGTAGGGACGAAATGGGCTCAAATGAGATTAGAGATACATTACATTGGAGATAGTGAGAGAGTGAGATGTGATGAAACTGGATTATATGAAATTACAAATGGGATAAAATGGCTCTAGTACTTGAGATGAGTTTATTTGAGATGACTTTAGATAGAACGGGAATAGATTAGATTAGACATGAATAAAAATAAATGGGATGACTTTACATTACCGATTAGATGAGTTTAGATTACATTTAATTAGAGATTACTTTAAATGAGATGGGATGAGTAGATTGGATTACATTACATTACATTACAGAGCTCAAATTAGATCAGATTACATTAGAAAACACAGAATAGAAACAAGACTATGGGTACTGGTAAACTGTCTATATGTTGTTTGTTTCCCGCAGAATCTGCCAGCAGTCGACAAAGAGAAAGAAGAATTGGTGAGACAAAGTCTCTGCAGGACCACCGCTGATGGTCTAGATCAATCAGACATCCAGCTGCTCAGTCAGTGCCATACCACCCAATTACTGTCCATCTGGTAACAGCGTCCAGAGATGACCTGAAGTACACCCAGTGTGTCTGACAAAACAAAAACAGCGGACAATGTGCGGCAGGTTTTTGGTTAGATCAACGAGCTGTGGGGTCTCGGTTCTTACAGGCAGTTTTGGATTACAGGAAGTAACACTGAGTCACTAATCTTGCTTCTCTCTGACTCAGACTGTTGAACTCAGAAATCTGATCTGGCACAAAGAGGCCTCCTGTTGTAAGGGATCATTTTTTTCTTCCAAATGCTCCAAATTATTAGTGAGTAAAAAGCTGATATTCATCATGCAGAATTTAGGTAATAGCACTACTAATGAGCCGAGTAAATCAAACTGGATAAAACATTCAATTATTAATCACCTTTTCTCCCTCCGAGTGTTCAGGGATATCTAACTAAGAATGCCTGACACATTAGATAGCCGCCTCTGGCTCAGGTTGGGCCGTACGTAACTTATGAAGAAAAGGGATTGTTTTTGCCGGTTTGTAGACTTCCCTTATGACACAAGATTTAATTTGGAACATTGACTGGACATTCCACTGACTTCACCAAAATGTGTTTCATATGAAAACACTTTACGTAATCAGCTGGCAGATTCGGGGCTGCATGGAAACGAACATGCTGAAGTTACAGTAGTAGTGGTGGCAGCAGCTGGAGCAGGCCGCGGTGGTCTGTTTACAACCTTAACAGTCGCCAGAGTTGTGTAACATTCTCCTACAGCTT